AATTAAATGGTAGAGCATTAAAAGTCACCCCTCTCCCCTACACACATAGGCACACTACTGTGAAACAATGGGATTTACAAACCAACATCATTGACAGAAGACAGAGAGGGGGTCTTTACTCACAGTTCTGGTAAGATCTGGCCACCCAGGAGAATTAATTCTGACTCAACAACATCTTCCTCTCCTCTTTACAATAAAGGGAAGCCAAGTCACCCTGGATGGAGGGAAGTGGAGGGAAGGCCTGGGTGGGGGAGAGGAGGGAGTGCTCCTAGGAACTCTTCCTTGGTTTCTGAGACAGAAGGGATCAGGGAACTGTGGGCACAGGTAGAAGCAACACCAACATTAGCATTATAAGTGCAAACTGCAGAACCTTCACACTGTTGTCTACGTAAAGGAAGTGTATTCATGCAAAATATAAACTGTTAAATGGATTTTTTTTGGGGGGGTGGTGGCGGGGGGGGGGGGGGGAGGGCTCTACCTGGCAAGAGAAAATTGATCTGGGTCCTTTAGGGCTGGGACTCAGGAGGGTTCCCTGCTCTGGCTCCTATGAAAAGAGACTGTGGTTCTTGGGGGCGCTCCAAGACTAGCCTGGAGGGTGGACACCCTGGAAGCAACACCTGGGAGATGGCCAACGTGTTCTTCTGAGCCCCCCCCCCCCCCCCCCCCGTGCTGGCCCCCAGTGGCCTTCGTCTCATTCCCTGCCCAAAGCCCTTTGCCTCTGCTGCCATCGCGAGCAGAAAAGAACCTCTCCCCTATTTGGATTCCCCACTTGGGTTTCCCAGCGTGCGGCCTGGCCAAAGGGAAGCTTTGGCTCTCCCGCAGGCAGGGCCTCTTTCAGAACCAGGACCTGTCACACTCCCCCTGGGTTCAGTCCCGACCCTGAGGGCTGAAAAGGCTGGTCGGGCTGGTTAGGAGCTGTTGCAAACACCAGCTTGGGCCTGCCACCGGATGCAGGTCCCTGTGGGTGTTCCCATCTCCAAGCGCAGGGCGCCCAGGCCAGGTTGCCATCTCGCTTTTTTTTTTTTTCTTTTTTCCCAAGAGAAAGGAAAAAAAAAAAAAAAAACACCTTTGGAATTCATCCTTCCCCCGGTGGGGCAGAGGAGCTTGTAGGGAGAGCCTGAGCCTGAGTGGGGTGTGTGTGTGTGTGTGTGTGTGTGTGTGTGTGAGGGGGAGAGCCTGCAGGGGAGAGGACCTGGAAAAGGGGAAATGCGCCTTTGGCTGACCTGCGTGGGGTGACTTGGCTTTGATTTTCAGAGGCAGCTAGATTGGGTGGCTTAGGTAGGGGGGTTCATATTGATCCTGGAGCTAGTTAGGGGTGTTAAACGGGTACGCGGGTGGGGCAATTCATTAGGCAAGAAATGGATTAGTTGTTTATTATCTATAAACATTCCAACCACAGCGGCCAATCATAAAACCGCGGAAGGGCCCATAAAACAAAGCGGCAGCGAAGCCTCGGCGTGGGCGGCGCGGGCTCAGCAATTGTTCTGGGTGATACAGGGTCCATCAGAGCGACAGAGGGAAAGGGGCGGGAGTCCACGGGAAAGGGATTTGTCGGAAAATAACTTCGATTTCTCTAAGTTGAACGGGGAGGGGGGGGGGGAAGCTGGGGTGAGTTGGCAAAGGATGAAGAGAGAAAGGAAGGAATGAGGAGTGGTTCGTTAGTGAGGTTGGGACGAGCAATAAAAGCTATTGATTAAACGGAAGAGCAATTTAGTCTTTGGTTCTTGATGAAATACCGAGTCACTAAACCCTGAATGCAGCCTAATAATATTTTATGGAGGGGAAAATAAGTTTTTTAAAAAAATGGCCTCTTTCTAGGATTAGGAATTCACTTTTGAGCATGGCTGAAACTCTTTTTTTAATTCTCATTTGGGATGCATTTCCTAGCAGGAGCTGGTATCAAACAATTAAATGCTGTTTAAAAGTATAAAGTCTGATGGGTTGTTGTTTTTTCCACTAAAATAGCTATTTTGCTTCCTTAGGTATTACTTAAAACATGCTTTAAACTCTCATTGCTTATTTGATATTTTAATGTACTAGAAACAGTGGTCAAATATTTATGCTGGTTTCCTAATAACTAATTCAAGAACACTGTCAATTTGATTCAGAACCTAATATTTAGAAGTCAAGTTTTGGGTGAAATGCTTAAATACAGTTTAACAAATGTATTGGTTTGTAAACATGTGATGAATAAATTTTAGAATCTTGTTACATACACACACATCGGAGATTTTTCTGCTTCTTAGATTTTAAAAACTTTTTTAATTGAAGTATAACAATCCAAAAAGAGACAGAAATCATAAGTGAATGCTTGATAAAGAATTTAAAATAATAATTCTCATCTAACTAGATCAAGAAAAGAGCATTACAACACCCTGGACTGGCCCCTCATTTTAAAAATATATATACATTTTTTAAGTTGCTCATCAAGTGTTCATATTTCTTTCCAATGCCAGTATGGAGGACTTTTCGCCCCTGAGGATTATCTTCCAGAAAGTAAAAATGAAATGCTTTGAGATCTCCTGTGTTGCGGGGGGGGGGGGGGGGGGGGGGGGGGGGGAAGAACAGGCTCGGCTCGGGGTCTTTTCCCCCTCCCTCTGGTACCACGCACCCTCCCCCCAGCTTTCCTTACCCTTTGGAGAGACATAACAAACAAACGATTACATGTTGAAAAACACATCTGAAAACAGAAAGGTCACGTTACTACCGAGTCCTGGGAAACATTAATCTGGTGTTTGGAAAACAGTTGACAGTTGAAGGTTGGGGTTTCTTTTCTATTCTTGGAGGGATTGAGAGGGAGGGAGGGAGGGAGGGAGGGAAGGTGGGGGGAGAGAGAGAAGGAGAGAGGAAGAAAGAGAGAGACAGACACTGAGAGAGAGAGAGAGAGAGAAATAACTTGAATGAGAAGGAAAAGGTAGAGATCAATACTTTGTGGCCTCTTCTGAAATAAATGCTTGGGGGGGTGGCGGGTAGGGGGAGAGCACTACCAACTCTCTAACCCAGATTTCAACAACAACAACAAAAATAAATAAACAAATAAAAGAAACTACAGGGACAAAGAGACTCCGAGGAGGCTCCAGTTCGCCCAAGCGTGGAGGTGTGTGAATGTCTTTTCCTAAAGCAATGAATGTGAGCAGTGAGAAATAATCGCGATAACATCAAGCCCTGAACGCCCGAGGTGGGGGGGGGGGGGGGCGGGGAGTCCGCTGGACGAAAACCAGTCCCTTTCCTAATAGCAGCCCCTGCGAAGGTGAAAGTTGATTGCCTGACCACTCGCCTCGCTGTGGCATTTCGCTGAGCCGACGCGCCCCCCACCCCTCCTCCCCGGGTCCCTCTCCTCCCCCGGGTCCCCCCGTCGCTGGCTCCGCGCGCGGAATTCCTCCTCCTGCCTCTGCTCCGGGGTCTGGGCCCGGCGCCCCGCGGCCTGGGCGCCTGGGAGGGAGGTGAGCTGGGTGTCCAGCACCCTGACGTCGGTCTGAGGTGCCTCCTGTCTGAATGCATGGTGTAAAACGGGAAAGAAGACCTGGAGTGCATTCCTGGGCCAATGACTGGAAACACCACCGTGAAACCTAGACCAAAAAAACTGCTGTGACAGCAAAGAGTTAACCCTCCTTTACGGGCATCCTTAGACCCGACCTGAGTCTCACGGCTCGGATCTGAGAGGCGGGCTGGTCGAGGGGGGCTGGCAGGGAGAGCGGGGAGCCAGAGGCACCGGATCCAGGGGTTCCTAGGGCTTCCCGTGACCGTGAGAATGCCGCTTTGATGGGATGGGTCCATATTTAATCGGGTCCCTATCACAAAAGGAAATCCGGTGATGCGCTCTTATGTTGTCTGGCTGATGGACACTAAATCTGGCCATGGCGAGCCTAACCCTCTCTCCCCCACTACTCCTCCCCCAGCCCCTCGGCGTGTCTGTTTCAAGTGCAAATGCGTATTTGGAGCCTAAAGGAGACTCTCCTGCAAAGATACTGAGCGAATCCTCCTCCGCCTAGGTCAGGACGTTGCGCGCGGAGCCGGGGCAGGTACCCCGCCCGGGCCGCTCTGGCCCCGCTGGCTGGAAGGACAGTGATTTATGCGCCGGTGACACGGCCCGCGGTGCCCCCGGACGGCCAGCCAGTCCCGGGAGCTGCGGCGGAGGGAACGCAGGCCGCTCAGCCCGGAGGACTCCTCCGTCCGCACGCCCAGCCCCGGCCTCCCTCCCCACCCGGCGCTCCCAGCTGGCCCTGCTTCGGTGGTGGACGCCACTTCAAACCCCGGGGGGAAGGAACGGAACCCATGTCCACTCTTGGATCCGTCTGGCCGAGTCCGGGGAGGGTCCTGGCGGCCGCGGGCTGCTCCCGGGGTGCGAGCTGCTGCGAGGTCACAGAGCGCCCAGGCCCCGGCGAGCGGAGCGGACAACGGGAACGAGCCGCCCTGGAGTTCAAGGCGAGTCGCCTAGGCATCGGCGGAGGGAGGAGGGCCAGGCCATTCGCCTAGGGGATGAACGATCCTGGATCATTTATTTTGAGACGTGAACTCCTCCAGAACCCAGCAGCTGCTGGGGCCGTAGCCCCAACGCCAGGCAAGCAGCCAAACTGTGCTCTCTATGAAAAGATCGAGACTGGTTCCATCCGGTTACAAATACACTTTTTTTCCCCTCTCTCTCTCTCTCTTTCCTAGCCAGCCGACGGAGCGCTCCTCTCGCCATTCACTGTTCTCAGCACCGAAGCCAGCGCATCCTCCCCAGACCGCGCCAGGCGCACGCCTCCTCCCGGCGGGTCTCCCCGTGCGACCTGCCACCCAGTTCCCAGCTCCTTTCTCCTCGCTGCAGATACATACATTTTATAAGTACATCCGAACCAAAAACAGACGGCTAAGAAAGACTGCGAAGAACTGAACTGCAGTCAGGCAGCAATGTTTTGGGGGAAATTGTCCCTGGAGACAGAGAGAAAAAGAAGGGGCTATTCACTATCTCTTCCGTCTCCTCTCCGCCCTCCCCCCCTTCACACACACACACAATTTCACTCTATCTCTTCCAACGCTGTGGTCCACTTGGTTGCAGAGAGCGAGGCGGACACGGTCTGGAGCCGGGATGGGGCGGAATGTGCGGCTCCTCTCCCGCCCTCCGGAGTGAAGCCCCCCGACGCCGTCTCCACCAGCAGCCCCGCCGCCGACACCGAGCCCGGGATCTCGGGGCGCCAGGCCCTGCAGGAGAGAGAGACAGAGATAAAGGATGCGATAGCGGGGCCTGGAGATAAGGTCCGCTTCTCTGCTTAGCCTCCGTTTATGCCACACCGACCCGCCCCCGCCCCCCTCCGCGCCCCACACACACCTGGGGGCCGAGGGCGCCCCGCGGGAGACGGTGGGGGAAGACACTCCATCCTCCTCCAACTCCCAGGCCATCCGCATCGCTTCCAGTCACTCCATTTGCTAAGTTTTTGGTGGAAGATGCGAATGAGGCAGTCATTAATATTGCGCATCAAAGCTCAGAAGGACGTGACCCTCCCTGATTCATAAATATTACTCCAAAGAGGAGGACATTAAGTGGCTTTTCTTCCTTTTGGAATCTCCGGGAGTTACACCTAAGATGCTGAAGGAGATCAGGAGATCGGGGTGGTTGGGGCTAGTCACGTGCCAGAACACTGTTAAAAGTGAAAGGAAAAAAAAAAAGGGACTAGGAGTTTTTTAAAAGAACACAGCAAAACGCTCACGGAATTTTATGAGAACAGTTACAGTGAAGAAACTGCTTTTCCAATTTAATAAAATGTCGTTCTTTTCGTCGTCTGCACAGCTTTTCTCAGTTGATGGCGTTTGGTTGTAAAACTTAACTTTCCAGGGGGAAGGGGGGAAGATTGCTCCCCCTAATCAAATTATAACGCCAGGGCAACAAATAGTATATTTGGCTTTTAAACACACGTAGTTATTTTTAAACGAAATGTTTTTTTTTAACTACCTGGAGCATATACAAAACACTCAGCATGGTTTTATTTTAGAAATTATCATAATACATCCTCTTCTAAGAAATAGGAATTTACCCCCACTTAAACCAAGAAAGAACAACTAATTCTTTGGGTTAAGTATTTTTTCTTAATTCCTAGATGTGGGTTGGAAAGTAATAAAATGAATATTTGCAAGAAATCATTAAATGTCAAGATTAAAATGCTGTATAATTTTCCTAGTAAAACATAACTTACATTTCATAATATGTGAAACTCATTTATAAATTTTGCACTTTTATGAAAAATAATTCACTTATGTCATATATATTTTGTAGCAAACTGGAAGTCCTAATGTTTAAGCACATATTGCAATGTCACTTACTTTGATTTATTTTGTTTCTTTTAAAAGCCCCTCTCCCAAATGAAAGATCTTTTTGTTTAAATAGCAAATTATATAAAAATATAAAATCTGGGTGAATTAGCTATTTGAAAATCTTTTGACAACTTTAGAGATTATGTTTGTTGTTTTTCTCTTTTTAACTTACATAATTTACATATTTGAATATATATTTGTGACCACATAAGTTATGCATATTAGGCAGGAAAATTAATTTTGAAACTCATTTATTTTAAAAATGTTACACATAATTTGAGGTGAGTAAACTAAATTTAGATATTTTTTTCTGGTCACAATAATAGAACAAATATTAGTACTATATTGTTTATATTAAAAGGTTAAACATTTTAGCCTGTGAAAATCACCCACCTACTTTCTTTTGATTAAAAAAAAAAAAGTATGTTGAATTTTTTGGTCAGACTCTATAAAACCAGTATCTTTGGTAGCTTTTATTATAAATATTAATATTCAGACTATAGAACTAGCTTTATTCCATTTAAAAGAGAACTTTTGAGAAACACAAGCATTGAAGTGAAAAGACAGTTTCCCCACATATTCGCACTCTAAACTTCCTATCCTCAGAGCAGCAGAAATAATCCTTTTATTCCATTAAAATGGTCACTAACCTTATAAAGATAAAAGAATGTTTTAATCTCTTACCTGAAGCAGTCTTGTCAATGTAGCAGGAACTGAATTGGGACTGTTCTGTGTTGTCCATTACAGCGCAGGGCTGTGCTGTTTTGCCTTCGTGAAGGCTGAGGTAACAATGTATGACTCTTGCCTCCTGGGACCCTCAGGAAAATGAAATAGATAGCTGGTTCAAATAAATGCTCTAGACCTTCACCCAGGGATATCATGGAGAAAAACAAATGCTTTCACAAGCACTGAAAAATAATTGAAAGGTTATTCTGTAATTTGTTTTTCTTGTGTATGTTATTTTGTATGTACCTATGAATGTTATGTGAAAACAATAGATATATATAAGAAATGACTTTTAAAATGTTTAAACCTCTGTGTGTGTGTGTTTTTTTTAAGAGCAGCAAAAATCACCTTTAAAGCAACTTCTATTTTTGAAGCCATTGGAATGTGTATATTTTAATTCATAATGCAACTTTCTCATCCTAAAACATTTTAGGCTCCTTAAAAACTGGCATTTTAAAATTTTCTGTTGTTTAGTAAGTTAAGTATGTAAGGTTGGATTTCCTACAGATTCTGTCAAAATAGTCATTGTTTGGGATTTAATATTTATTTAGATGTGAATGTATATTTGTTTAAAACTATGAACTCTGCAGAGGGTTTTAATTATATGCAACATAAATGAGTTTTGTTAACATATATACATATGTTAATAGTTTCAGCTTAAAAGAACCAAGATTGTATATTAACAATGTATTATCAAATCCAGCTTGATTTGCAAACATAATAATTAAGTTCTTTCAATTAACCATAGGTATACTATTATATGTTGTCTGTATACATATTTTGCTCATTTTAGAATGGAAAATAATCCTCCCAAGAAATTTGAGGTGGATTACCTAATTATTTTTTTCTAGCCCAAATTTTAAGGTGCTAAAACATAGGCATATGTTTTGTTTTTTAAAATATTTCCAAAAGAAAGTCTCAGAAATCAAAAAGACATTAGAAAAATGCATTATCTAAAAATTATGATCATTATTTTGCTTTATGAAATCACCAGTCTATAGGAGAAATGTGTTTAGAAGTCATTAACACCGTTGGTTCTCTGAGTAGAATCATGGAATGCTATTTTGAAAAAGAATAATACATATTCATACATATGCACACACACTCTTTTTTTTTTTAAGGGGGCTTCATAATTTTTGGCAGCAGAAAAAGGGAATAGCAAGCATCAAAGCCTGAAGTAAGAAGAAAGCTAGTCATGGTTTTCAGGCAAAGGAGAAAGGATATTTCCCAGGGTACCTTTAATTCGATTTGGAGCAGTTGGAGTGAGGAGCGTTGGGTTCTCACTAAACTACCTGCATTATCTGCTTACAGTGAACAATAACATCGCCTGTTCCTAATGAGCTATGTAGACATATTTCTAACTCCATAATATAGACCCCCCACCACCACTTACTTTTGAAATAATTTGTAACTTTCTTTTTTACTTAAAAAGAAATATATATATATATTTTTAAATACGGTGTTAAGAAATACATTTCCCCTTGGGAAATACACCGTGTTTCCAATTACATTCTCCATAAAGACAGTCTTTAAATGGAGTATGAACCCATCATTCATTTGACAATTATTTTTATCTACTAAGTGTCAGGCACTATTCTAGGAGCACCGATGAAGAAAAGAAACAATATCCTTGTCCTGGGTTAGAAAGATTCTTTCTGAAAGTAGGGAAATTAATCACTGCAGGGGTGGGGTGGGGGTGGGAGGGATAAAATAAATCCTGTAGTTTTCCGGTTATCCACCAGGTGGCGAAATGGGCAAAACTGATAGCTTAATATGGATCAAAATTTGGTGCAAAGAATAGAGTATTTCTATGAAAATTTCCACCACATTTTGTTTAAAATGTCTCTTTGGTAACACTACAGTTAATAGCTCATGGTTATAATGCATTTTGTGTTCAGTTTCCTAAAGCATTCCTTGCGAGGGACTCACCCCTTTAAGAAGAGAAGAGTCAGCTGCATTTGCCAGAGGCCTCTCTGGAAGATTCCAAGCTTATCTTAAGAAATTTTGCTTTTACCCTCCCATTTCTCTCTGTCCCCCAAGGTGTGGGGCTAATAGAAATCTGTCTAACGGACTGAACATCTGGCTTTGCATGGGCCTCCATTGAAGTTGAGAGTCTACTATATTCAAATTCATGGTAAAGACACTTACCCGAAAATAAGACAGTGTCTTATATTAAATTTTTCTCTCAAAGTTGCGCTAGGTCTTATTTTCGGAGGATGTCTTATTTTCGGGGGAAACATGGTAGGTATCACACTGCGATTTGCTTGTATTATCCCAAAGATTAACATCTTAGAATAACATCCATACTGAAAAGTAGCCAAACATATATGACAATGTATACATACATAGAATCATATCTATATTTCATTTCCAGACTCCCTTTAAGTGCAACCTCTCATTTACATTGAAGGAAAAAAAATTATTTATTCAGATATCTTTGGAATAGAATATATTCTAAAATAAAATTAGACCTTTATTTACCTTCAGACTCTCAAAGAAGTAAAAAAAAAAAAAAGTATTTCATTCTTAGAAAATGGTTTATATAGGATGTAGAAATACTTTTAGAGTGGTTTAAAGGTAGAGTATGAGATTTTTCCTAATTTCTTACTACCACCACGAGGCCCTGCAGGATATGACCTCTGCCTTCTTCTCTAAAACTCACCTGCCATTCATTCATTCATGCATTCCTCAAATATTGACTGACATTTTCTTGTTTCAGTGACTCCATTAAGGTACTTGGGATAGAGAAGTAAATAAGACAGTGTATTCCTTTATGAAGTTTGCATTCTATTGCACATGGACCAACTTTGTTTTTGCCTCCTGGCCTTTGCATTTGCTGCTTCCCTCGCTTTGAAACACTCTGACCCATATCTTCTCAGTGATGGATATATTTAGATACATGCATATCCAGGACTCACTAGCCTGTGACCCCTAAACAAAGTCACGTTTATCTCTTCAAAATGTACTTGTGAAGACTAAATGAGTTAAGGAATACAAAGCCTTTAGCAGAGTAAGCTTAATAGCAGAGTAAGATAAATGTTATCTATGATTTTGATGTTATTAATTATTGTCAATGAAATATCCCTACGATCTTTCCAGAGATTTTCTGAGACCCAGTTCCTTGTCATATTGACCAAACTACAAAATGAGAGTTCTAACTTACAGAATCTATTTCCAAGATGCTGAAAGATTATTTCCTGCCAGGGCCAGAGCGCTGCTGTGCAGTGTGGTACAAATATGCCTGGCTTACCAGTATGGTTTTTATCATGGATGCCAATTAGAAAATAATTTAGAGATGCTTTTGATTGGAAACAAATTTTGACCCTTTGCTGCATTTACATTTCCACTGCAGTGTTTAAACTTTTATTATTGCATTTATCACATTGTATTATAGTCATGGGTAGGGCGACCATACTTCCTAGTTTATGC